GAGTTTAAATCAATTTATTTAATTATTTCCCAGCATCACACACAAGTTGAATATGCGTAAGTGGGGAGACACCTGTAAGTCAAAACTATAGGTTGCTAAAAGTTACGACAGAGTGAACATCTTTTTCTGTGAAGGGCTGCATTCTTCATGGAGTTGGAGGCAAATGTGTTGCTAATTAACTAAATCAGATACACAGACCACCTTGCCTCAATTTTTTCCATAGTTACCTCAGACTGCAATTCCCAATCCTCTCAAATATACCAGGATTTTTTTAGTTCGACAGACCAATACAGCTATGGTTCTAGAAAGCAAGTAAAAGTAATTCCTTTCTGACATCAGTGTGATATATGCACACACACATGGCAGAAGCCTACTGATTTGTTCACAGACAGCTCTAGGGAGCGTTCTAAAAAAAGCAACACATATTTTATCAAATTAAATAGAGTGGCTGGGGAAACCCAGCCAGATGGTTAATAATAATAATAATAATAATAATAATAATAATAATAATGCCTCTTCCAATTATCCTGAAACTAGACAGAAAGGGGAGATTATTTAAAAAGCCAAGAAAAATGAGGAAGAAACTAAAGGAAAGTAGGAATTCTGATGGGATGGAAGAACAGGGCTGTCTCAGGGGCTCCATCAAATGAGGTCAGGAACTTCAGACTGTCCACCTGTAACTTGAGTCAAGGACATGACAGCAGCTCTTCCAATATTTTGAACTTATCTTAAACTCCAACGATACCAGTGTTCAGACCTTTCAGACATCTGCTGGATTTAATTGCTCAGTGAAGGAAAATATCAAACCAACAACTACTTTAGTGGTGTTGTTGATTGTTACTGTAACTTTTAAAATTGCTAAATTGTTAATTGCTTCAAATTGTTTTGTTAGCCTTTCGAGCTGATTGAGGAAAACTCTAGTAGAAATACAGTGGTACCTTGGTTTTTGAGCATCTTGGAAGCCAAACGTTTTGGTTTTCAAATGCCGAAAACCCGGAAGTAATTGTTTCCATTTTGAACGCTCCTCAGAAGTTGAACGGCTTCCACTGCGTGTTTTTCCATTTTTCCAATTGAACTTGCAGCCAGCTCTTTGCGCCTCAGTTTTTGACGGCTTTGGAAGTCAAACGGTCTTCCGAAACAGAGTACGTTCGAGAACTGAGGTACCACTGTATTTAAATGAATAAAGCTAAATGCCTGTAGCCTGTCACCAATCACCTTCTTATATTTATTAACTGTACACCTCACTTTTCCATTAGTATGCTAAAGGCAGGCTGCAAAATAAAAAATGCAACTATGAGATCATAAAGAAGTTAGCAAGCTTTTGAGGCAGCTGAACTTCTTGCTTCCTATGAAGGTAAAGCGTCATAAAGACCATCGCACAGAAAATTTCAGATGCTTTCTAAGTGTTATTATATATCATTAACTAGTTAACAATTAGCCTAAATCCCATCCTCATCGAAGTTGTATAAAGTAATTACTAGGTAAAGGGACCCCTGACCATTAGATCCAGTCGTGACCGACTCTGGGGTTGCGGCGCTCATCTCGCTTTATTGGCCGAGGGAGCCGGCGTACAGCTTCTGGGTCATGGGGCCAGCATGACTAAGCCACTTCTAGTGAACCAGAGCAGCGCACGGAAATGCCGTTTACCTTCCCGCCGGAGCGGTACCTACCGTATTTTTCGCTCTATAGGACACACTTTCGCTCTATAGGACACACTCCAAAAATGAAGGGGAAACGTGTGCGCGTCCTATGGAGCGAATGCAGGCTCCTTGGCTTCAGCAATAGCAACGCGAAGCCTCCGAAGCGCAGAGGGAGAGCTCCCCCCACGCTCCGGAGGCTTCGTGTTGCTTTCGCTGAAGCTGCCTGAAGCCCCCGGAGCGTAGGGAACTCCCGCTGTGCTCCAGGGGCTTCAGGCAGCTATCCACAAGCCTTCGGAGCGCAGCAGGAGTTCCTGCTGCACTCCGAAGGCTTGCGGATAGTCGCCTGAAGCCTGGAGAATGAGAGGGGGCGGTGCACACCAATCCCTCTTGCTCTCCAGGCTTCGCTTCGCTGGAGAGGCACTGCACAGTTTTCCCTCTCTGTGCAGCGCCCCTTCAGCGAAGCAGGAGGAGAAATGGAATGGGCTTCGTTTCTCCTGCCACTTCGCTGAAGGGGTGCTGAGCAGAGAGGGGGAGATCCCCCCCCTGTTCTCCCCCTCCTATGGTCCGGTGCGTCCTACAGAGCGAAAAATACAGTATTTATCTACTTGCATTTTGATGTGCTTTCAAACTACTAGGTTGGCAGGAGCAGGGACTGAGCAACGGGAGCTCACCCTGTCGCGGGGATTCGAACCACCGACCTTCTGATCTGCAAGTCCTAGGCTCTGTGGTTTAACCCACAGCGCCACCCGTGTCTCATAAAGTAATTACTAAAATGATACAAAATGGTAAGTGGGGGGCTGGTACTCCCCCTTTGATGCTGCCAATTGTTATTCTGAGTGATGGCACATGGAGGTGGCTGTCTTTGTTCATTGATGTGCCCTGTATCAATAGCAGAAGTGGCCAAGGGAGGCTAATCCTTGTTCCCTCAATGCTCAAACTATGCAACTGAAATCTAAAAATTAACATAAAACATAACAGAGCCATGATTCCACAGAATTTCTCCTCAACAGAAACTTTCTCAAAAGGTTGTTGGGGTAGATTATGAATATTAGCCTATTAACAACTGAAAGTAGCAACCTCTCTACCCTCACAAATTTTCCACACTATAACTCCTGAATTAACACTACAGCAGTGGTCCACTAGGTCCATGCTCAGAATCCCGGCCTTTAACATGTGATCATGTCTTGTAATTCTTCATCCTCTGTTTCCCTCATGCAGAATGCATAGAACTCAGAGTCTTGTGGCACGGTTACAGCCTAACAAATTAATTGTACCATCAAACACTCAGGGACCAGATTTCATGGGCCTACAAAGCTTTTGCCATCCCAGTTGTGCATTAAAGTCCCACAAGACACTTTGCTATTTCTGCTGTGAGAGTCAAACATGGCTAGCCCTAGAAGTGACAAAGAAAGCATTGGATGGAATGGAAGAGAGCCAAAATGCTATCAGATAAGGAGGTGACTATGCTACCTTGTTAAACAGTTTACTGCGTCCTCCTCTGGATTACTGAAACTCCATTCTCCTGCGACTTTCATAGACTGTCACCAGTTCCTCAGTTTTTCTGGATCTGACCATTCCATTCCATTTGGTGCCCTTTCACTTTTACATCTTTCATTAATTGAAATGGCTTCCGAAATCCATTCCTCTACCTTTGTGAAACAACGCCTATGTAGCCCTGCCATGTGGTATGCCCTTTGGAAATTTTCAAGTGTCACAGCAGAGACTATAACATTTGGGGGGGCGGGGGACCTACATGTACTTGTCAACTTCATTTCACCCAAAGATCACAAACACTTAGGGGATCTGCAACATTTACTAGTAGGAGACAATTCCTCATCCACTAATCATACTAGCTGACAGGAATACCCCACACAATGGTAATAGCCACACACTGGCTCCACTTAACAGAAAGCTAGCAGCCAAAATAATTAAGGGTCAAGTCCAATTCTTTCCAATCACCAAATACCCCAAATATACCCCTAACTCATTTTACTACTCACAATTGCTAAGGTGAAAAGAGGGATATCATTGTAGAGCAGTGGGAGGGAGTTTGGAAACATCCTCAATACATTTAAAACAAAACATGTATTTCCCTCTTCTGGGCCAAGCTTTGGAAGGGAAAAAATGTTTCTGCAAGCTTGCAGCAAACACTTGCTGTAAATGCTGTCATATGGCTAGCACTACTGGAGTTCACTAACCTGACCCCCCTACTCCTTCCCAATAGTTCTGCAACTTTAAAAAATGTTTCCCTTTAATTTAAAAAAGAACAACACAAAGGATGAAAGCAAACATACACATGCCACTTTACAAGAAGGCAAGCAGCCATCTGAACAGCTGACCCAGCATTCAAGCTGATAAACAGCAGACTTCAGATGACGCTAAAAAACTGTAAACGTGGATCAAGGCACCTGGGCACATTGGGACCCTCTGCTGAATAGGACACCCTCATAGTTCCCTGGCTATCACAATTTCCCACCCAACAGGAGCCAGTCTGAATGCAATTAAGGATCCATTCCTGTACAACCCTTCAGAATGCCAGCTGGTAGTAAGAGCAGAAGTATTATTTCCATCTGAATGATAAGTGAGTTGGTGAAGTGATTGTTTCCTCCTCTGCTCACCCCTCCCTAGCTAATTATCCATTTTTGTAGGATTGTTTTAGCAGACTGGAGTCAACTATGAATTCTGAATATATGTTGTCTGGCCTGTGGGACCCCAAAAAAGCACAGAAACATTTAGGCAGTGAAATATTAATAAACTGTATTTAAGCCCAGATTAACCTGAAGATGCATTAGGGCAACTGGAGCTCATAAAGATGTCCAGGGGAGAACAGAAGAGGTACACTTTTATTTTGTTTAGCTGTCACACATTTTTACACAACTGAAGCAGTCCATAATGGCATTCAGATGTCTACAGCTTATCATTTTTATTGTATTCTGTAGTTGGGACACCTTTTGGTTGAAAATTGGCCTATATATTTTAATACAAATAACATGCAAAGAAAGAAACAAGTTTCCACACAGACTACTTTATTTGTCCTTAGCAAACTGACAGGTCAGTTGCTCTTGTGCATCATCATTTATTTTTATTTGTGGGAAGGGGGAGGAGCATGGTAGCATTTGGAACGAGGCTTGGCAGACCTGAACCCATAATGTCCTTCACTGCAATCTAGCCACTTCGCCATCATGATTCCTGACCAACATAAAAATAAATTTGTACTGATTTAAAGATAAGCCTTGTTGCATATTAACTCTCTGTAATTGTACTAGACTGCATAAACTACCAAAGCGGAAGAAGAAAAGGTTCCATAGGCTCAGCCCAAACTTTAAAGTGTAATCCCCAAAGGCTCAGTTGAATTGTCACCTCTATACTGAAGTAGCCTCTGTCCACGTAGTCTCCCAGGAAGAGGTAGCGTGTGTTATTGGGTGATCCTCCAACTTCAAACAACTTCATCAGGTCAAAGAACTGCCCATGAATGTCACCACACACTAGGGGAGGAAGGACAGCAAAAAGAGGGACAGGATTACATGCTAAGAAGAGAAAGGTCACAGAACCAATAGGGAACATGGTTTTGCTTCCGTCTAAATTGTTGGATTATACTGAGCTCCTGTACTCAAATCTCCAATCTACAAAAACACTTCTTCCCCTTGGAGATATAGAAAGCTTTCTGATCTTGAGCACACTTCAGTGGAAAGAACATGCAACAGGAAACCTGCTGGCTTTAGCAGCCAGTCATTCCAGATGAGCCTCAGAAAACAACAAGCCACAAAATAAAGCATTCTCTGACCTGTGATTGGAGCCTCAACTTCAATCATGGTCTTCTCATGCCTCAGAATGGAGGCTCCATCATTGATTATCTTCAGCGCTGCATCCTCCTCCAGACGCCCTTCTTTCACCAAGTGGTTTCTTAAGACCTCCAGCCTGGGTTTCCCATCCTCAAAAACTTCTTTCAGGGTTAACCGCTGCGTAGGAGGGAAAGGGACAGCTGGAGAGAGACAGAAACACACAAACATTAAGAAGGGAGTTCCTCCAAAGACCAATAAATCTTATAATCGGATTTCAGCAAAGGTTTCTCTAACCTGGGCAACAAGAGAGAGAATGATCAGTTAAGGACCATACTGAAAATTGCTCAGATCTAGATGGAGTTTGAAGAAACGTAACATGCAGTATATTTTGAATACAAGTACGAAATGCATCATGAGGATATTCAAGGCAGGAAAAAATAATTTCAAATGCCAAGCACCAGATTCAAATTCCTGTAATCCATCATCAGAGTTTTTAAATATATATTTTTAAGACAGCAGCCCCTGACATAGCTAAACAAATATTTCAAATTCCTAGTGCAAGCATCACATTTCATCACATCAAATACTCATCCTTCTTAAATTACATACTGAATGGATTTACAACGCGCATTTCAAAAGAATTTGCTATGGTGGCTTTACAAACACATGACAAAATGCAGTCAATAGAGATTCAATACCAATAAAAGATTCAGCATATAAAAGTGGCAGAGATATGGATCTTTCCCATGTGGGACACACATATGCACCCCAAACAGGTTTTCTATTTCCTATCCAAAACTGAACATCAACCAATTAATTATCCTAAACTGACAGGCTTTGAAGTCCTGGGTAACTCAGCACTAATGCATAGTTTTTATATAATGTTTCTCTCTTGAAGATTACAGACAAGTAATTTCATTGGTTCCCCACTGCTTAATTCAGCCTTGGGACACGATAGTGTCACAGCTATGTTTCAAAGTTAGCCGTGGAAGCAACTTAGCCTCTCCCTTCAGCAATCCTCATCTTTCTCATTCACACATTACATTAAAGCTATAAGGTAGGTAAAGATAAAGGACCCCTGACCGTTAGGTCCAGTTGCGGACAACTCTGGGGTTGCGGCGCTCATCTCGCTTTACTGGCCGAGGGAGCCGGCATACAGCTTCCGGGTCATGTGGCCAGCATGACTAAGCCGCTTCTTCCGAGCCAGAGCAGCGCATGGAAACGCCGTTTACCTTCCCGCCGGAGCGGTGCCTATTTATCTACTTGCACTTTGATGCGCTTTCGAACTGCTAGGTGGGCAGGAGCAGGGACCAAGCAACGGGAGCTCACCCCATCGCGGGGATTCAAACTGCTGACCTTCCAGTCGTGCCACCCGCGTCCCTAAAGCTATACAGTAGTTAAAATAAACTAGTGTTTAATGTGAACACATAGTGCACAGGTGCACACTGCTGAAATCACAGTCACTTCACTTCTTCACTGCTCTTGCCATGCTGCCAGGAAACAAGCTGACTTATGCAAGAATTCAGGGTTATGGTTGGTTTCTGCCAAAATATGATAGACAATTGGCTTGATATGTATAATCAGCTGTATTTTGGGTTATATAGCTCAGTGGTAGAAAGCATGTGCTGCCTGCGGAAGGTTCCAGGTTCAATTCTAGGCATCTCCAGGGGGGCCTGAGAAAAATCCTTTCTGAAGTGCTAGAGCACCTCTGTCAATCATTGTAGACAATACTGAGCTCGAAAGTACCAGTGGCCTGACTCTGTATAAAGCATGTAATTCCTTTCACCAGTTTAAGAGAGATAAGCATGAGATAATGACTCTTGTAATTTGTAACAGCAAATATATTCTGTAGTAAACCTGATATGAATTAACTGTACACCTGCTTGCAATTTTATACCTGTTTGCAGAGAAGGAGATAAGTGAAACAAGGTTATTTCCATTGCCTATGCAGAGAGATCAATTGGCTTTCGTCCTCTCTCAACTGTCACCCAATGAGAGCCATACTATCAGGCTTTCTGAACTGTTTCCATCCCAGCTGGTGCCTAAATTTGTGTCTCTCTCCTTCTTTCCCCATCCTCTTTTCCTTCTTTTAGATTATAAGCCTGTGAACAGAGACTGGCTCATCAAATTTGCAGGATGACATCAAACTGGGAGGTGTAGCTAATGCCTCAGAAGACAGAAGCAGAATTCAAAATGACCTTGGAGAACTGGGCACAAGCTAAGAAATTTCAATAGGACAAATCTAAGGTTCTGCACTTAGGTGGGAAGAACCAGATTCACAAATATAGGATAGGGGACACCTGGCTTACTAGCAGTACATGTGAAAAGGATCTAGGAGTCTTAGTGGACCACAAGCTTAACATAAGTCAACAGTGTGCTACAGCTGCAAAAAATGCTAACACTAGTCTAGGCTGCATCAACAGAAGCCTAGTGTCCAGATCAAAGGAAGTAACAGTACTACTCTATTCTGCCTTGGTCACACCACACCTGGAATACTGTGTCCAATTCTGGGCACCACAATTTAAGAAGGATGTTAACAAGCTGGAACATGCGTAGAGGAGGGCAACCAGGATGATAAAGGGTCTAGAAACTAAGCCTTATGAGGAGTACTTGAGCGAGCTGGGTATGTTTAGCCTGGAAAAGAGGAGCCTGAGAGAACATATGATAGCCATCTTCAAATATCTTAAGGGCTGTCACATGGAAGAGGAATCATAGAATCATAGAGTTGGAATAGACCACAAGGGCCATCGAGTCCAACCCCCTGCCAAGCAGGAAACACCATTAGAGCACTCCTGACATATGGCTGTCAAGCCTCTGCTTAAAGACCTCCAAAGAAGGAGACTCCACCACACTCCTTGGCAGCCAATTCCACTGTCGAACAGCTCTTACTGTCAGGAAGTTCTTCCTAATGTTTAGGTGGAATCTTCTTTCTTGTAGTTTGGATCCATTGCTCAGTGTCCGCTTCTCTGGAGCAGCAGAAAACAGCCTTTCTCCCTCCTCTATATGACATCCTTTTATATATTTGAACATGGCTATCATATCACCCCTTAACCTCCTCTTCTCCAGGCTAAACATGCCCAGCTCCCTTAGCCGTTCCTCATAAGGCATCGTTTCCAGGCCTTTGACCATTTTGGTTGCCCTCCTCTGGACGCGTTCCAGTTTGTCAGTGTCCTTCTTGAACTGTGGTGCCCAGAACTGGACACAGTACTCCAGGTGAGGTCTGACCAGAGCAGAATACAGTGGCACTATTACTTCCCTTGATCTAGATGCTATACTCCTATTGATGCAGCCCAGAATTGCATTGGCTTTTTTAGCTGCCGCGTCACACTGTTGGCTCATGTCAAGTTTGTGGTCAACCAAGACTCCTAGATCCTTTTCACATGTACTGCTCTCAAGCCAGATGTCACCCATCTTGTATTTGTGCCTCTCATTTTTTTTGCCCAAGTGCAATACTTTACATTTCTCCCTGTTAAAGATCATCTTGTTTGTTTTGGCCCAGTTCTCTAATCTGTCAAGGTCGTTTTGAAGTGTGATCCTGTCCTCTGGGGTGTTAGCCACCCCTCCCAGTTTGGTGTCATCTGCAAATTTGATCAGGATGCCCTTGAGTCCATCATCCAAGTCGTTGATAAAGATGTTGAATAAGACCGGGCCCAAGACAGAACCCTGTGGCACCCCACTAGTCACTCTTCTCCAGGATGAAGAGGAACCATTGATGAGCACCCTTTGGGTTCGGTCAGTCAGCCAGTTACAAATCCACTGAGTGGTAGCATAGTCAAGACCGCATTTTACCAGCTTCTTTACAAGAATATCATGGGGCACCTTGTCAAATGCCTTGCTGAAATCAAGGTAGGCTACACCCACTGCATTCCCTTCATCTACCAGGCTTGTAATTCTGTCAAAAAACGAGATCAGGTTAGCCTGACATGACTTATTTTTCAGAAATCCATGCTGGCTATTGGTGATCACAGCATTCCTTTCTAGGTGCTCACAGACTGTTTTCTTAATGATCTGCTCCAGAATCTTCCCTGGTATTGATGTCAGACTGACTGGGCGATAATTATTTGGGTCCTCTCTTTTCCCCTTTTTGAAAATAGGGACAACATTTGCCCTCCTCCAGTCTGCCGGGACTTCGCCTGTTCTCCAGGAATTCTCAAAGATGACTGCCAGTGGTTCTGAAATCACCTCTGCCAGTTCTTTTAATACTCTTGGATGCAGTTCATCTGGCCCTGGAGACTTGAATACAACTAGCCAAGTATTCTTGTACTATCTCCTTAGTTATTCTGGGCTGTGTTTCCTCTGCTGAATCATTTGCTCCAAATTCTTCGGGTCGGGCATTGTTTTCTTTATCGGAGAAGACTGAGGCAAAGAAGGCATTGAGGAGTTCAGCCCTTTCTGTGTCCCCTGTTTGCATTTCACCATCTTCTCCTCTGAGTGACCCCACTGTTTCTTTGTTCTTCCTTTTGCTACGAACATACCCAAAAAGCCTTTTTTGTTGCTTTTAACCTCTCTAGCAAGCCTGAGTTCATTTTGTGCTTTAGCTTTTCTGACTTTGTGTCTACACGTGCTGGCTATTTGTTTGAATTCCTCTTTGGTGGTTTCCCCCTTTTCCATTTTTTGTACACATCCTTTTTAAATCTTAACTCAGTTAAAAGTTCTTTAGATAGCCACCCTAGCTTCTTTAGGCACCTTCCATGTTTCTGTCTCATTGGTATTGCCTGAAGTTGTGCTTTTACTATCTCCCTCTTAACAAACTCCCAGCCATCATGAACTCCCTTTCCTTTTAGTATTACTGTCCATGGGATCTCACCCAGCACTTCCCTAAGTTTTATGAAGTCGGCTTTCTTAAAGTCAAGAAATTGAGTCCTAGTATGCTTGGCTGCTCCTTTCCGCTGTATAGTAAACTTCAGAAGAGCATGATCACTCGCGCCTACTGATCCTTCCACTTCTACCCCCCTAACCAGGTCATCAACATTGGTTAGGACCAGATCTAAAATGGCTGTTCCTCTTGTTGCTTCTCCCACTTTCTGGACAATGAAGTTGTCTGCAAGGCCAGTGAGGAATCTGTTTGACCTTATGCTCTTGGCTGAGTTTTGACATCCAACAAATATCCGGGTAATTGAAGTCCCCCATTACTACTATCTCCCTTCCTTTTGCATGCTTGGCCATCTGTTCCAGGAAGGCATCATCTATGTCCTCCGTT